TCAATCAACTATTTATTTAAATAATAATTTCTTACACTTCAAGACCCAACTCCAGTGTTTCCTTTCTCTTAAAGCCTTTGCTGTTGCATTAAAACTCCTTTTCTGCTACCCAATGCATACTGTTTACTATACTCTAGAAGTTATCACATTGTATTATAACATTTGGCTCTCTTACTAGACTATGAACTCCTTGAAGACAAAATCCCTGTCTTATTCATCTTGGTATCACCAGAACCTAGCCTAGTGCTGAGGGCAGAGTGTGGAGCTAATATATATATATTATCGAACAATGGAATAAATGAGTATAAGTTATTTCCTTATTTGTAAGTAAGCTCACAAAGTTAGGGACTCTAGTTGGTATTCAGCAATGATAAAATAGGTATAACAGGTTACACTATTGATAATGCAAAACATCAAAATGTGAAGAACAACATGATGGCACTGTGAATTTTTCAAAATTAGCAAATAGAGGGCTGGCCTGGTGGCGTAGCGGTTAAGTACATGCTCTCCGCTCTGGCAGCCCAGGGTTTGCAGTTTCCGATCCCGGGTATGCACTGATGCACTGCTTGTCAAGCCATGCTGTGGTGGAGTCCCACATAAGGGGCACAGATGTTAGCCCAGGGCCACTTTTCCTCAGCAAAATGAGGAGGATTTTCATCGGATGTCAGCTCAGGGCTGATCTTCCTCACACACAAAAAAAGAAAAAAAATTAGCAAATAGAAATACTCATTTAAATTATTTTAGAGAAAAAGAAATTTGTATCTAAGAACTAGTCAGCAGATATTTTATCTTTTATAAGAAAGGTATTTATGCTTTTGAAAGAAAATAAAAAAGCATAAATCATAAATTGCTTTTGAATAGCAACCAAGACTACAGACTGAAGGTCATATGTGATAGACTGCTGAGCGGAGAGCAGCAATCTGAATTATAGACTCCACAGGGACCACCTACTACAGGATATTGCAGATCCTCACAAAGAGGACAGTGGCAGTGGACAGAAGCCAGCTCTTCAGAGAATGGAATACCTAAGAAGGAAGAGGCATCCGTTGCCTTTGTTAATTGAAGACTCAAGTGTAGGCAAGTTTCTGAGAGAATGTTTGACAATGTCAAATGTGTGAGGAAAGAAGCCTGATATTGGAGACTCAGCTATTCGTGAGTCAGAGTTAAAGAGAGGAAAGTTTTTAATTGCACTGGAATGCCTCTGTCTTTTGAAACGAGCTGGATTACACAGTTTCTAAATAATCAGATGGTAAGCCAACCTATGGAATGACTTTCAACCTTTGGTTAAAGAAATGAGCACAGGCCATTTAGAGAAAATAATGAGGACAGAACGAGGTTTTCCACGACACAAGTAGAGCACAAAACAATTTAAAATGAAGTGAACAGCAGGGCTGAGATGAAGTAAGATTAATGAACTAATAGTTCAATTGAGGCTTTTCTTGTGAATCTGAAGATTAAGTTTATCAAATGAGCTTCAGAGGAATTTCTAGGGCATGTGATGAGATTTCCAGGTCAAATGATTCAAATACAACCAAATGGCCCCCAAGTTCACTTTCAATGTTCCTAATTTCTTCTACAGTTCTTCATTCGAAGGTTTAAAAAGCCAATATTTATTCTTTCTGTATCTAGTTTGCTTTTGCCCAGATTTTTTCACCTATAAAGCTAGAAGTCAAGCATTTCCCTTTTGTATATTTCCCCTGCTAAGCTGCTTCAACCAAGGCAGTATTTACATTTTGTTAGCTCGAATAGAAACCTTTCTTACATTATGACACTCTGTCCCCCACCTCCCCACTTTTTTCCAAATCATTCTGGTTGGTTATTTACCTTTGTCTCCTGTTAAAATAAATTTGAAAACTTGAGTTCACATAAAAGTTATGCCTATTATTATTTTAAGTTACAAGTAAAGAGCACTTTCTATCCCAATTAGGTATCCCACAAGTTTAATTATACTTTGTTTAAGTATATGGTATTGTACAAAGTTTTTTTTTATTTCTTTATTTCTATTTACCATCAATTCATGTATAGGTTATTCAAGTATAAGCTATTCATGATTATAAATTAAGAAACAGAAGATCTTGAGAAGTAACCCTAAAACTTCACTTTCTCTTCAATATCCTCAGATCTTGAGAAATAGATGACTGGTGCTAAGTAGCTATTTGCCCCCAATTATATTTCTTCTCACTACTCTATTAAAAAAAAAAACAAATTGGCATTGAACCAGATAATGTAGTATGGTCTTAAAATGATTTAAAATTTTTTATTTTGTTTTGTTTTATGATTTTTTGGTGGAAACCAAAATTCATGAAAACTCCTATGGTGGCCTCCTGAATCTTTTTACATTCTGAAATTCGACGTTGGTGAAAATATCTTGTTCATATCCACATGCAGTATACACCTTACTGATTGTTAGTTTATGATAATAGCTGACAGAGCCACCAGATTTTTAAAAAATTGCTCTAAGGAAGAATATTTTTGTCTACTAACGTGAATATTTAGAATACCTAGTGAAAATCACAAGGAGTAATGATCAGTATAATCAGGTTGGAGAGACAGCTTGGACTCAATGAAACATTTAATAGGAGAATTCATGGTTTACCTATTGACTTATATAGACTTATATACTAGGTCAGTTAATAATGAATACAGGAACAGCTGGTCCTGTATTGAAAACCAGGATATGTCTACCTGTGTTGATCCTACAGAAATAGAAAATGTGAGAGTACATCAGAAGCTACTACTGAGAAGACAGAATCACCACTTTTGGGTCATGTTGAAAGAGCCCATTGAACTGGTAGGGACTCTTTAAAATAAATACCTCTTAAAAAGGAGGAAAGACAGAAGAAGAAGAAGGAGGAGGAGAAGGAAAAGGAGAAGAAAGAAGGAAGAGAAGGAAGCCAAATGTATTGTTTGTAATGTTTTATTCTTTGAATGTTCTGAAGAATTCTTAAATATTCTTAAAGGAATGTCAGTTGCTTGGTTTTGGAAAGCTTCACAGAGTTCCACTTGAAACTCAAAGATGTATCTCATGAACTGGGTTTCAAATAACTTTAAAGAGTTCTAATAACTTTTCGAAAAGAAATATACTGATTTCTTAGTGTCTAGTAAGATTCGTCAACTCATCCAACAGAAGGGTTTAAAAAACTTATTACCTTGCAAACCTGTTTATTGGTTAGAAAATTTTTTACTCTTCTTTTTCCTTCTACTATATGTAACAAGAAATTAGTGATTGGGAATTTAAGAGTAACATCAATCACTGGGAATTACGTATTCTTGCTCTATAATCTTATTTAAACTTTTTATTAAATAAGAGTTTGAAATTGGGTTTTTTCCCCACTGTAAGTTAGCTAATTTTATTTAGGCCCTGACACATATAAATTCTTAATGAGTTACATAAGAAATTATTATTTCTTCAGTTAACTACAGTGAAAGACTATGAAAGTGACTAACAAATGGATATGGGAAGCACTATGTTTTCTTAAAACTGGAAACACTGTGGCAATATTGAATGGAGGTGCCTTTGGGGGCAAAGTGAGGAGAGTTCTGCTTTTAGGCTCCCTCCTCCCCACCTTAGAAAGTAGACACCAACCCAGTGCTCCAGGAGGGTGCTGCGAGAAGCGTGCATCTTTCCATCTGCTGGTGGACCTAGTTTGTAGTGAGCCCCTTTGCCTGCAAGTGGTAGTGTCTGCAACAAAGTCTACCTTTCTTGGGAAAGCTGTCAGACTTGTAGTCAAAAACTTCTAGGCCCAGTCCTAGGTGTAGGATCTTGTATAAAATTGTAAGTGTTACCTGGAATTATTTCCTCTTTTGTGAATTAAGATTGCTTACTTACTAATCTATTATTCAGCTGATATTCGAGCACTTCTTGTTGTGCAAGGAATTGGGGCAGCAAATAGAGACCTGCTGACATGGAGGAGGTCATTGTCTATGGAAATAGCTCTTGTAGCACTCTTCTGAATCTCAAATATTAAAACAACATATGTGACCTTGCTTTAAGATCTCTGAAGTACCGTACAAATTCAAGAGGTTCTGACAACCAAAGGCAACGAGTTAAGGTTGAAAGTTTAAACTATAAACGCTTATTAAAATGAATATGAGAACGAAATAAAAGATAAGGGTAGTCAACTCTTGATTATTCACAGATTGGCTAGAGTTTGTGATTATCAATGCCCTTTGATTTTCCTTCTCTTTCCAACCACCAACTACTGAATATTTCTCTGCTCATTAACACCTGTCTAGGAGCGGGAAGGTGAAATGCAAATCAGCCAATTTGGCTAATTGTTAGCTGCTATGATCCTTTTTATTTTATTTTTTTGAAATTGAGTTAGGGAAAAGTTAAAATCTTTTACTAAAATGTGGGCTATGGATTTCTAACCTTTATGTCATCCTGCCTTTCTTTTACTGCATAGATAAATTCAGATATTTTGTTTTCAGTAAGATATTAAAGAGAATTAAAAATTTTAGTAATTCATCAGTCCTCAAGTGTCAACATAACTTCACATTACATGTTTCCTATTGGCTAATGCTTGGAAAATCTTAATCCCCTACAAGGAAGCTTCCGGATTTAATAGTTGCAACTTTAAGTATAGCCCTATGTAAATAACTGCTCTTGCTAAGTGAATTTTGACCAATAGGGAGAAAATCAACTTGGAGAAAATGACTTAAGACTACCCTTCTCTTTGCCTCTGGTAAACATTACAGGACCTCCCCACACCAAATAAGGGGAAGAGGAATGTTCTGAACATTAAGGGCACTAAGAATAAATCTGAGCTATCATGGATAAGATTACTTTCCACTCTTTATTTCATGTTTTCTGACACAGACCCCAAGATCTGTAATTATCTTTGGGAAACTGCGTGGGCCTAGACAGTACTCTTTAGTTCCTTTGCCATTTTTGTTTTTTTGCCTATCTCTCTTTGGGCCTAGAGAGCTGTGTGGTTGTGTGTGTGTGTGTGTGTGTGTGTGTGTGTGTGTGTGTGTTCCCCTAGAGTGCCAAAAAAAAAGTGCTGAAGAGTCCCAGGGAGAGGAGGCTATTTTTGTTCGAAGCTGACACTTCTGCCTGAGTTACAAGTGCTGCCTGGAAAGGGCTCAGGTTGTTTCCAGGGGGAGAACTCTGCAGAGAAGAGGCAAAGTTCAACAGGACAACAAAGGAGCAGCAGAAACAGCCAGGAAAACCAAGAGCCCTCACGTTTTCACATAGAACCCCCTATCAGAGTTCTCGAATCCTAAAGTATTCTGCAAAGTGCCACTTGACTGGAACTTTTTGCCTGCCTTTTCCTTTCTCCAACCACCATGACTGAGATCACCGCTGAAGGTATTGCTTCCATTTTCCAATAGTATCAGCTAGGAAAAAGAGGTGGAAATTGATAGTGACATTGACGGTCAACGTGTTGACTTAGAATGTCGGTTTTAGAGCGTCTTGATCAATGATTCTATACAGGATGGAGGAGTGGATCTGGGAGCTGAGAGGCTGACAGATCTGTGTGTTGGGGTTGGGGGAGTGAGAAGAGGTTTCTCTGAAATTTTGCATGTGGAAACTGTTCTTTGCTATGCCAAAGTCCCCACTAGCTAACAGTTGCTACCCACACCTCTATAAATAGCTCTGGTCATGTAGCGTTATGGCTGATACCTTACCTAGCAAAATTACAAGGCTTGCAAGGAGGGAGACCATGATGTACTTTTAAAATATTGCATTTAATGTTTAAACCTAGAAAAGAGATTTTGAACAGTTTTGCCTTATGATATTTTAAAATGGAGATCCTAAATTTGTTTTTCCTTTCTAACTTGGGTTTATAAATACTCACACACACATATATAAGATTTATATACAATTTAAGGTATAAGTGCTCCTGCAAAATTTGTGTATATTTTACTGTTGGCGGGTATTCAGAGACAAGGTTTGGAATTGCACAAAAATCACTGTAGGTAATATGATTTTAAAAATACAGCAATTTAATGTTCAAATTTTGATTCTTTTCACACATTCGTGTCTTTTTTTCCATGTAAATGATGAATTTTACCTTTATATTAAAATAAATATTAAATGCTTATTCTGAAAAGGTACATGCCATAACTAAAACATACTTTTTATTTTTTGACCGTGGTAGCAATTGTTTCATCTATATATAATATATGTAAAAATCTAAATATATATATGTAAATGTATATATTTCTTAGAATAAAAGGGCACTGTAAAACAACTAAAGCATTTTGAATACAGACACAATCCGGTTCTAGCTGGGGTAAAAATTGGAGAGGTGGATCTAAAATTCGCTTCTGACAGCTGTAAGAAAATCAGACAGGTGGTGCCCTCGGCAGCTTCCAAGCTGAACGCTGCGCTGGTATGTTTTTAATGAGACAACTGAAAAATAGAACATGTGGCTCTTTGGGTAGACATTAGTACGGACACACAGTGATTTCAGAGTTGGAGATTTTCAGTCAACATTTATAAGGAAAAATGTCTTACTTATATCTTCCACTGAGAAATTCAGTCTGGCACGCCAAATAAATAAAACAATTATTGAGAGATTTCTATGTATCAGGTATTTTGCTCAGGACTTTCTGTGCACATCCTTATTTAAACCTCACCCAATTCAATTAAGTCAGCATTATCTCCAATTTTGCAGAAAAAGAAATTGTCACTCAGATGTTCAATGACTGGCTCAAGACCACAGCATTGCCAAGATTAGAAGCCAGCTCCTAAGGCAGCTGTCTAGTCTGTGTTTTTTGTTTTGTGTAAGAAGATATCAGGTTGACTCTACCAATTTTAGTTCAGAATTCGCTAACTAAATATAAATAGCATTTTTTCCTATTCCTTAGATATTCCATGTCACGTGGTCTTTAGTTTGTCTTAAAGAGAGCTATCTATAAAAACTTCTTGCTTAACCCTGCACAAGTTATTAAGATACCTATGAATATATTTCCCTACCTCTGCATGGGGCGTGGGCTGCCAGCTGATTCAGGAGGTCACTTGGCCAAAATACTTTTGGTTTGCCTGTGGATTATGCTCTGTAGACCTTAGAACTTGATTCATAAAACTTTTTACAGGAGAATTCCTGATTATGAAACAGAACTTTTGTTTCTGTCTTCCCCCATGGATAGTTTAAAGGGTTCTTGGAAGACCTCCTGGAGTTACCCATCAAAAAATCTTGAATTAGCAATAAATTAAAAATGGAAAAACACCATCTACTCCCTGAGTGATGGTCATTTCTTACTCCCTGGCCTTAAACATTCATAGGATTTATGTCATCTGAACATCAATTATGTACTTTTTCCTTTTCTGAAATGATTTATTAATCATATTTCTCAAATGGAAATTAGACTGCCAACTCAAATGAGCTTAAATTTTAAGGTTAGTACCACAGTCATTCTCTGTGGTTATCCAGTTTCTTGCACACTACACACTTTTCGTTTTGTGTTCGTGATGCTCATTTTTTGTGCCCCAGCTACACTAGCTTTCGTTCAGTCTGTTATAAGAGGTGTATTTTTGGGCCGGCCCCGTGACTTAGTGGTTAGGTGAACGCACTCCACTGCTGGCAGCCCTGGTTCGTATCCCAGGCACGAACCAACACACTGCTTCTCTGGCCATGCTGAGGCCACGTCCCACATACAGCAACTAGAAGGATGTTCAGCTATGACATACAACTATCTACTGGACCTTTGGGGGAAAAAATAAAGAAATAAAACTAAAAAAAAAAAAGAGGTGTACTTTTGTACAGGGCCTTGGTACAGGTTATTCTCTGAGCCTGGAATATTCTTTCCTTTCATCTGCTATATTTCTTTTGCCACCACTTTTGGACACATTACTAACGTGTGCACTGCATCAGTAGCCTTATGACACCTACTGATTAATTTTCCCATCCTTTTATCAACAAGCAAACAAACGCCTTGTAGCACTTAAGAAATTTAGAGCTAGAGTAGCCCTTAGAAAGCTCTAGTCTGCTGTCCTCACCTCAATTTTTGGAAAACTGAGGCTCGCACAGATTATATGGTCTCTCACGATTGTTGCTAATTAGGAGAGGTCTGAGGATACAGTGCATATCTCCTGTGGCTTATCCCCGTGTTTATGTCACTACAATGCAGGGCATGTCTGTAAACCTCACCGGGTTCTTCATACAGATTTCCACTGCATGTTCCAAGCTGGATTACTTCGTCTGACAGAAGAGAGGAAGTAATGCAAGACATGGAGTTGTGTTGCAGATACAGAGCAATAGATTAACTAGAACTAGGACAAAGTTGAACCCTAAAGGATTTTAGGGAAAGAAGACCTTTGATTCTGGCCATGATAAATTAATAAAGATAATTATAATGGCAATGATAATAATTCATCTTTATTCAGAAGATATTAAATGTCAAGCACTGTGTTCAGCTTATTACATGATCATTTAACCCTCAGGACAACCGAATGAGATATGTACTTTCATTACTGCCGTTTATAGAATAGGAACCTGAGATTTAGAGAGTTTAGGAATCTGCCTGAATTCACACAGCTGTGTGTGGTGTAGCTAGGATTCACACCCAGATCTCTGACCCCAGATTCATGTTGAGTACGGTGTGAGACTAATCATTAGCCTGGCGTTAATCCAGAGATTGACTGGGCCCTACCCTTGGCCGGTGTTCTGGTTTAGTGTATGCTACATTGGGTAGATTAGGTCAGGCCCCAGACTGATCAGATTGAAACAGTGCTAAGGTTAGGACTATAAATAGCCTTCTACCTTCTCTCCAGAGGCCCAGTTATTCCTAGACAAGTGCCAAAGTTAGCTCCCCCTTCTGAGGTTCATATGAACTTTCAACTACCAATTTCAGCGTCTATTTGACAGCATATATCACTATGCAAAAATGCCTTTTGAGTAATTTTGATAATGAAGTCTAGTTCATTCTAAATAAATTTGTTAAAAAGATGGAGACATTTTAAAAAGTCGGTAAAATATGTCACGGTTTCAAATTGCTAGTTAACTAATATACAGTCAAATTATCTTTACAACAACAGTGATATAATTGTGCTCTCTGGATCCAAGGACCTCCAAAATACAGGAAAATATGAATTTTTATTTATAGATTTAAGTTGGTAGAGAGCCTATATATAATTAATTTAGCATTTAGTAGAACACTTACTTAAAGGAAATTCTTTTTTTTAAAGTTTTTAAAGAAGAAATTATGTCAAATTCTCAACTTCTGGGGCTGGCCCGGTGGCATAGTGGTTAAGTTCGCGTGTTCTGCTTCAGCAGCCCAGGGTTCGCTGGTTCGGATCCTGGGTGTGGACATGCTCACCGCTCATCAATCCATGCTGAGGCGGAGTCCCAGAGAGAAGAGTTACAACTCTACGACTACATACTTTAGAGGAAAAAAAAAAAAGAGGAAGATTGGTAACAGGTGTTAGTGCAGGGCCAATCTTCCTCAAAAAAAAAAAAAACAAAGTCGACTTCTAAGCTATGACATAACCTAAGAGTTCAGGAGAAGAGTTATTGTACCATGCGTGGAATTTTTTCTTTTCTATGAGTTCAACCACATTTCACTGCATCTGTAGCAATCCTATCAGAGGATTTGATATTCCAAATTTAGAGTAAAAATGGTCATTTCTTTTATGCATTGCACTATAGCACTGGAGAACCCATTGTTGCTCTCAAGAAAAAAGATCAAGAATTCACAGCCAGACTACTTAACAACTATGTACACAAGTTCTATCACCTAGAGCAACAGATGGTGAAATTAAGAGAAAGAGGATACCCAACCTACATATCTGAGTTTTTCTTGCCAAAATCAAAAGCAGCTACAGCGGCCTAAGTGGAGATGACTTGGGAGTAAGGGAAGGAGAAAGAGGATGAAGCAGTAAATTCAAACCCTAATCACTTACGGGTTATGTTCTTTTGATCAAGGAAAGCAATAGACCACATATAGAATATCATTTTCAGTTCCAGGAACGCATTTTAAAATTGACATTGACAAGCTAATAAATTTGGAGGAGGAGGACCATGATGGCAAGAAGCACAGTCAAATGAAAAGATTTGTGCATAGGTCAAATAGAAGACTGGATTTTTTTCCTTATGAAGCGCTAGAGGACAATGCAAAGACCCGTAGATACAAGTCTGGAAGCCAGGAAAAGGCAAGCTGTTGGCAAAATACAAGGCAAAGCCTAACCGACCATTAAATTAATAGCTAGAACTAACTCTTCTGACTCAAAACAAAAAGGGGGAGGGGGAAGAATAGAAAAAAAAAGCAATGAAAGGAAAATAACACAATCTCCAATTTTCAAGAAACAGAGAGATGAGGAATATGCTAAAAACTCCACCATAGCATGCAGCCAACAAAATCCAG